ATCAGTTAATATTTGTGCAGTACTTTGAAGATGTAAAGCACTATCTCCATGTGTTCTGCATTGTTAATATTATGTAGAGCTTGGCCGCATTATGGTCCAGGACTTGCCAATCACTCTGAACATGAGAAAAATATGGACATTGATCTGGATCCGACACTTTACAGCTGAGTTCTACCTCCATAATGAGCCCAAATCAGACCCCCAAAACTGAGCAACCTTAAACTTAGGGGCAGTTTATGGGGCATATCCTCAGCTGGTGCAAATTGTCATAGCTCCATTGATTTCAAGTACAGCTGGGAATCTCCCTCAATATCTGGATACCTGTGGAAACTTTGTGGTTTTGGGGCATCACTAACACTGATCAAAAAGTCAAAATGGTTTGCATCTGAAAAATGGGGTCGGGGTGCTGATGGCTGATACATTTTAAATTGATTAATCAAAAATCATTTTCGTCCCTCAAAATTCATCACCTGCTATTTTTTGGGGGGGGAAATGCATCCTCTCGTGTAATTTCAGCACCAGCAAAGAGAAATGCTGTAGCTCTAGAAGACAGTTTCAATCATTTTGTCTTCAGGGGAGTGTCATTTTAGGGGACAGAAGAAAGTACTAGTGAGGAGGATAGAGAAGTTCAATAAAAATATCTCATTCCTACTAAAAATATTAGCTATATTCACACATTTTTCTTGAAGTCTAGAAGTACTCTGAATAGCAACTCTTCATAGCATCTCATAAAATGTGCTCAGCTTACCAACAATACTGATTTTTGTCAGACACCTGATGTGAGGGATCATAGGCCTGAAATCCTGGGCCCATGGGCAGGTCACAACTGCCACTCAGCACGTCACTTGAGTAACTAGAGAAGGGACCAGGGAAGGGCTATCTAGCAGTGGGCCCCACCCCTAAAAGTCTCAGCTGGGAGAAACATCCAGCCAAGGAGTATTATATAAAGCAGGAAGTAGCAACAGGAAGTTGTCTTAGCAACTTGAGGAATCCTTGCCTAGCTGTTACTATGGACCCCTCCTGCTTACCTGACTCCTGAGCCCTGCATTCCTGCCTGCTCCTAGCTCCAGCTTCCCCATGTGCTCCTGGTCCCTGACCTCACATTTCAGATCTCCATCTACTCCCACTTCCTGCTGTCCTACCTCACTCCAGGCTTCTGCTCCTCTGATGCTGGCTCTGGCCCCTGGCCTGGCACCCAATGTTGTCTCCAGCTCTGACCTTTGGCTTAGTACCTGACATTGTCTCAGGCTCTGACCCCTGGCTTGGCACTTGACTACGGCTCGGACCTTCACCTTGGTATCTGACACTGTCTTTGGTTCTGACCCTCTACTCCAATCACTGAGGTCTGCTCCAACCACAGCCCAGTCATTGCACCTATTTATGAAGAGATATGAGCTATATTATCCTTTATAATATAGTCCATATAGAGAAGCAATACTGAATCTTTAGTTTTAAGATCAACCCCTCTCTGGCTAAGATAATAGTAGTTAAATATGCCTGGAAGGCAAAGAGATGTGAGGAATTGCAGTGACAATTCAGTACCCAACCTCAGATAATGATCCTCTTGTAAATTCAAGATCAAAGATGTTGTAATATACTCTATGATGGGACTAAATGAGTATGTTTCTCCTACCACCTAGTTGTTTCAGCATGTTTTTTTTTTTTCAGATTAAAATTATGGAGGGTTCAATCTTCCACCTCATTCAAACACAGACCAGGGATGGAGCAGAGATGGGTGTCAATAGGGAGCCACTTGTAGCTCCATGATATGAAACCATCCAGCTCTGGTGCAAGTTAGAGCTGCACAAAAGCAGTTCTGACTTTTGCTAAAAAGGACCCAGTGTAGCAGAGCTCTCCTCCACCATACCCATCCCTACCCTGCTTCCAGAAGGCCCTCTCTTTTCCATTATGCCAAGAGAGGGGGCAGCTGATATAGGAGGTAGCTGTGCAACCTTCTCAGCTTTCCACCAGCAGAGAGCTCCATGCCCAAGGGGAATTCTGTGCTAGGCATCTCTTAAAGGCCACTTTGCACTGTTTCCATGAGCTAAAGTAGCCTTAGCAAGCTAGAAAATCTGGCACAGAACTTTAAAAAGTATAGAGTCATTGGAGCAGGATTCTGGGTCTCCCACATCTCAGTGCTCTAACCAACAGCTATAGAGTCATTCTCATGCTTATACTTCCTCTCATTCTCTGATCCCATGACTCTTTTGTTATTTATCAGCTTCACCAGGAAAGACTGAGAAAGCTGCACAACAATAAATCCCATCAGTCAATGGTTAGGGCACTCAGCTGAGTAATGGCAGTATGCTGTTTAGATCCCTTCGCCTCATCGGACAAAGGGGTAGTCCCACAGTCTCCCACATCTCAGCTGAGTACCCTACCCTCTGGTCTGAAGCTTTTGAGGCAGATCATCATCCTTCCCCACAGCCATTTTGTATGAGCTCTCCTGCAGGGCCTGATCTGGTAGGTGAGCTCTTTTTTGTGTAGGAAGCTTATTTCAGATTGGGAAAGGCACGTAAGGGAAGGAGGAAGAAAGGCAGGAAAAGCGTTACACAACAAGCAATCTTGAATGAGAATCCCGAGTCCCTAGAAAAATTTTCCTCCCACTTTTGAAAACGCTCTAAAAAGAATTACCTATATTATAGATTTTTTTTATCATTACTATTTCATTTAACTCTCATTTTTATACTTTTTTCAAAGTTCAGTAACGGAGCCCAGGGAATAAATGGAGGCTCCAGTAAATGAAAGGCCATCGCTCATGCACAGCTCTTGTCAAGGTTATCTGATTCGTGGGAGGCATAAAGGATCTGTTCTACTCATTCTCGCCCACAAGCCTCATTTTCACCTGCCCTGACGTATGCGCATCCACAAATGGTGCCTCTCACCCACTTTGCAGTCTGTCAGTGAAATCACATCATAATACATGGGAAGGTGACTTACGCAGTTGTAACAATAATGGATGCTCTTGAATTTTTAGGACAAGAAGAAATATTGTCTCACCACTGTGGTGATGATGCAAACGAAATGAACAGGCATATCATCCGCTGTTAAAGAGAGAAAGAATGCAGGAACAGAGTGTCCCATTATATCCAGGGCAGCACTGAGGGGGATGTGATGTGTAAACAGGTAAGCTGAAATTCAGGAGAGAATTTGGCATGCCAATGTGGAAAACAAATGAGGAGTCCCATCTCTAGGCTTTACAGACGTTATTGCCGTGATAATGGTATGACCTGGATTCTCTGTAGAAGTTATCCTATCTTATCTGATTCAATCTAGTTCATGAAGTCCTTGGCATAGGCCTAGAAATAGGAATTATTCTATAGGCCTAAACACTGAGAGTAACACTGTAATTACAGTGTCATATATAAAGAGACCATATGCCAAGGTCAATGCAAGCAAATTATATTTTTCACTAAAATTTGCACCATACAGGCATTTTGTCTGTCCTTAGAATTTTAAGTCTCCAATAAAAAGATGAGTATCATGGAAAGCTGAGCGGTGACATAGCGTCTCCAGTGGGTGAAGTAAGGTTGTAGTTACTGTCACTGATTGAATACCAAGGTCATAATACTCCATAGGGTCTGCTGTTAATACCCTTCATGTTGAGATGGCTTGAAATTTGGCACTCAAAACACAGCAAGAGCAACCACCTGAAGCAGCAGAGCAATGCATACTTCACGGGGGTTATTAGTTTTCCTATCTTGTTGAGGCATCAACTGAATGAGCTGAGAAATCAAAGGGAGAGTGAGCGCGAGAGGGTATGATTCATAAAACAGCTTGGCTCAAGGGAGCAATCCAGTTGGCTAATGAGGATTCTTTGTGATTATGAGGCCCTATGGACCTGGGTCTGAATGAGCTCATTTGTCATTATCACCATGGCACATTCCAGGTTGTGTTGTTATAGTATCAGACATGTTTCTATGTTCCATGTTCTATTCTATTTCCCCACAGTTCTGAGCTGTAGCTCTGGCCTTTCATGCAAAGAACTGTTATTGTCTGCTGGATCTTCACAATATTTTGTAGGAAGTGTAGGTCCCATGATATTAGGTGAGGTAATACCTTTTCTTGAACCAACTTCTATTCACTCTCTCGACAGAAGTTGGTCCAATAAAGGACATTACCTCACCCACCTTGTCTCTGGATCTTCACCATGTGATAACACAGTGACTATTTCAAAATATCTTTACACATATGTTAATTGTGTTGCTATGGCTTCTGACAGTTTATTCTTGATTCTGCATCTTCTTGTTCCAAAGTAATTGGTGCAGTGCTCACATCGATATTGCCATATCCTTTGCAGCAGCCAAACTAGTGACAGCCAAAGATGGCCAGGAGTTAGTGGTAGCCATGCCTGTAGAGTGTAAACTTCACTAGGGATTGGACCTGGTGGCCAATAGCCAATGTTCCCAAGCTGAATGAGGAGCCAGAGAGAAAAGTGTTAGTCCTGTTTATAAATTAGGGGCCTGATTCAAAGCCTACTGGAGTCAATGGAAACTCCCCAATGGTCTTTGAATCTGGCCTTAAATAAATTAGTAGATAAAAGCATCCTTTGGAGAGATAAAAACCAATGAGTATAGGGTGACCTGATGTCCTGTTTTTAAAGGGACAGTCCTGTTTTGGGGGACTTTTTCTTATATAGGTGTCTATTACCCCCCACCCCCATCCTGTTTTTTCACAGTTGCTATCTGGTCACCCTAAGTATCCACAATTTCCCTTCTTCTTGAAGGTGTTACATCCCAGAGTGCATCATGTTTCCGCAGGACACAAGAGTGCTACAGAGACAGCACATTCATCTCCAGAGAAAGAGGTGGGTGATCTTGGTTGCCCAATCCTGGACTGATACTGTTATACTTTATAAGGAACACTGTGCAATTTTCCCCCCAGAGGAAATGTGCATGCAGTGGAAGGCCTAGGAGGAAGACATGGGGCTCAATAAAATATTTAGAAAAAATATACATTTATAAAAGAATCTCTAAAAATAGTTGAGAAATGTGTTGCCACTTGTTGGGGGCCATTTTAGGTATGCTGCAGTTCCATTCAAAGCATGCAGCCCAGGGCGCAATATGAATTGGGAGCCAGGGTGATCCAAACCCAACTTATCTGATAAGCCTCACAGTTTTGTATTCATCTGTCCAAAATGCCATGGATGAGAGTTTATGTGCTTGTGAAGGCCATGATACACAATGCCATGTTCATTCTCTTCTCTGTGGGACTGGTTGTCCAGATATACAACATCTAGAAAAGAAGTAGAGACAGAGCTATCAAACCTTAGTTTTTCAGTGTTTCTCTCTTGCTTTCTCATCCCTGTCTATTTCTTCCCCCACCCCTATTTCTTTGTCTTCTATACCTTCTATACCTTTTGTCTTCTATACCTTTAACTTGAGGTACTGTAGGATATTAAGAGTGACCTCCTCTGAGCTGTTATTCTTTAGAGAACAGGAAAGGGGTGATTAAAATCCGATCACATATTCCCAAAGAAACTCAGTTTCCAGGTTTTAATTCTTCCACATTATTTGGGATCTGCGCCTGATATTACAGAAATACAATATACTTTAATTATCTAGTAACTGCTAAAGCTGATCAATATTGAAAAAAACCAGTGTGTGCCAAATCTATTTGAAAATCTGAATGGCCATTCATTTAGACCTTGTCTGTGCACTTTCATGAAAGTTCCAAGAAACAGGTTTTTGTTCATACAAGTGTTTGGGGAATTGCTATTATTTATACAGACACCTGGGTATCCATGTGTTAATGAGAGTACTTATTATTCTGGTTGCAAGTTTCAGTTAAGAAGCAGAAACAAAAGCATTCAACTTACATGACCAATCACACACCATGAAAAAATAAAAAAGTGAATAGTCAAAAAAAACTTTCATGAACAGGCCTTAGGTTGAAATTTTGTTCTCATAAACTGTTTTTGGTTTTTTTAAATGAAGTGACAAAGAAGCCTTTTCTCAAACAACTTGTGAACATAACAAAGCACCAGATCTGTCCAGTAATTCCAATAAGCTACTGAGTGGAATTCAAAGTTTCAATAAATCCCTACACAGCTTGAAACCTTATTACCTGAAAGATCATCCCTGCCCCATGACATACTGTCACAACTGAGATCAGTGAGATGCAGAGGGAGGTGCTGGCAGGGAGTTCTCTGGGCGGGGTCCTTGATTTGGTAACTTGCTCCCCATTGTAGGTCCACCTGAGCTGAGATTTGTTAACCTTCTAGGCATGCTGCTCAGTCTTTCTTTTTTCCCTCTTGTTAATGCTGCTGAGTGGCTCTAGGTTGAGGTCAGTATGTTTATGGTCAGTCTTCTGTTTCTTTTGTGATTTTTAATTTATGAGATAGGCACACAAAGCACTAGATGGGTGCCTATAATTGTATTTTAAACAGTTGAATAAATAAAAAAAAAAACAAAGTATTAACCTTCAAGAAATAATTAACCTGCTTTTGTAAGAACCCAGCATTTATTTATTAATTGACAATAAACCAATACTTACAAGTTCCTGAAATTACTTAGAGGGTCCAAAAGATATTATGATATAATTCGCCCTCTGGTTTCAAAGACAGAATAACCCTGTTGGACACAATATGAATATTATGTATCACATGCCATTATATATTTACTTTATAATGCAAACCTTAAACCTCTCCCCCTTTTCTATTCAACATGGTTCTTGCCTTGTATATGAGCTGGTTGGGAATTCTTCAACAAAAGTTTAGGTTTTTTTGGTCAGAAAATGCCGATTCCTTGAAACTGATGCTTTTCATGGAAATGTGTCAATTTCAATTAAACTTTTGTCAGGAAGATTTCTTGGGTCCAGGATGAGACTGATGCTGTATCTTGGTGGATGGGGTACTTACCTGGGTTGTGGAAGATACAGGTTCAATTCCCTGCTCTTCCTAAGTACTGGGCTATTGGCTGTTCTGGAGTTGGGCACTCTCTGTCTCGCCTTTTTTTTTTTTTTTAATAAACATATTTGAAAGGTCTTGTTTTTTTCCCAGTGTGGGAAAACAAACATTCTGAAGCCTCAAAAATTTGTCCTAAGCAGAATTCTGGCCAGCCCTACCTTAATTATTACTTAATTATTAAAATTTTCATATCAGCAAATGGTACTAACAGGCTATTTGTAACTTAGAATGTAGAGAGTTAACATTTTTGTCTGTACATACCTATTCTGGTGTGGAGAAACCTACATGATTTAAGGGGGGAAATTGTTAATCCTATACTATATGTATATATTCTATTCTATAGACTATATCCTATTCTATCATTACTGTAATATCTGAGCACCTTACACTCTTTTAAAATGTATTTATCCTCACACTCCTTTCAGATAGATAAGTTCTATTATCTCCATTCTACAGACAGGGAACTGAAACTAACTAACTTGCCCAAAGTCTCACAATGAAGCCTTAGGTAAAGTAAAGAATTTAACCCTGGTCTCCAGAATCCCAGCCACACCTTGGCCACTGAACCACCCTTCCTCTCTCTTTAGTGCAAGGCTAAGAGTTCTGTTCACTATCCTTAATACATCTGCCTCTTTTGTGAGTTGCTCCCTCTGTCTTTCGTTGAGACATTAAACATATTTCAGACTTCTTATATGTGCATAATAAAAACCCTATAGCATTTCTCTGTGTGTTTCCTACCACAGATTTAAAAAGGACAATGAATTCTCCAAGACTTCAACTATATGTACAAGATGTGATGTGCACACTGAGTGTGTAGCAGCTAGAACAGGCAGCTAATATAGTGTGGTGGAAACAGACTTTCATTACTGCATCTTTGCTGATGACGTTCGCAGCAAACACTCCAGCAGCGCCAATCTAAACATTTGCCTAAAGCGAAGTTGCACTTAATCCCATTGGACTTTCAGGGTCTGGGGCCTTTTCAGGAAAGTAACATATAAGTGAGACTAAAACTGAACATATTCAGCAGACACGTACTTTGGCTAAATGTCATATGCAATGCAAAGCTTCTAAAACAGAGCATAGCAGTGGCTAACTATCTATGGCAGGTGTGTTAGGAGATGCTGATATATGGGAGGAGGCAGGTGGGATTGAGGAAGACAACTCATCCAGGAAGTATTTGGAAAGTGCTGGGGACAACTTCCTGGTGCAAATGCTGGAGGAACCAACTAGGAGCCGTGATCCTCTTGACCTGCTGCTCACAAACAGGGAAGAACTGGTAGGGAAAGTAGAAGTGGGCGGCAACCTGGGCAGCAGTGACCATGCGATGGTCGAGTTCAGATCCTGACAAAAGGAAGAAAGAAGAACAGCAGAATATGGACCCTGGACTTCAGAAAAGCAGACTTTGACTCCTTCAGGGAACTGATGGGCAGGATCCCCTGGGAGGCTAATATGGGGGGAAAGGAGTCCAGGAACCCAGAAGCCTTATTGAGGGTGCAGGAACAAACCATCCCGATGTGCAGAAAGAATAACAAATAAGGCAGGCGACCAGCTTGGCTTAACAGAGAAATCTTTGGTGAGCTTAAACACAAAAATGAAGCTTACAAGAAGTGGAAACTTGGACAGATGACTAGGGAGGGGTTTAAAAATATTGCTCGAGCATGCAGAGGAGTAATCAGGAAGGCCAAAGCATAATTGGAGTTGCAGTTAGCAAAGGATGTAAAGGGTAACAAGAAGGGTTTCTACAGGTATGTTAGCAACAAGAAATTCATGGAAAGTATGGGATCCTTTCTGACTGGGGGAGGCAACCTACTAACAGATTATGTGGAAAAAGCTGAAGTACTCAATGCTTTTTTTGCCTCAGTCTTTACAGACAAGGCCAGCTCCCAGACTGCTGGGAGGGAGGTGAGCAGCCCGCAGTGATGAAAGAACAGATTAAGGACTAGTTAGAAAAGCTGGACATGCACAAGTCCATGGGGCTGGATCTAATGCAACCGAGGGTGCTGAGGGAGTTGGCTGATGTGATTGCAGAGCCATTGACCATTATCTTTGAAAACTCATGGCGATCTGGGGAAATCACAGATGATTGAAAAAAGGCAAATATAATGCTTATCTTTAAAAAAGGGAAGAAGGAGAATTCGGGGAACTACAGACCAGTCAGCCTCACCTCAGTCCCTGGAAAAATCATGGAGCGTGTCCTCAAGGAATCCATTCTGAAGCACTTGGAAGAGAGGAAATGTGATCAGGAACAGTCAACATGGATTCATGTCTGACCAATCTGATTGCCTTCTATGAAATAACTGGCTCTGTGGATATGGGGAAAGTGGTGGACTTGACTTTAGCAAAGCTTTTGATATGATCTCCCACAGTATTCTTGCCAGCAAGTTAAAAAAGTATGGATTGGATGAATGGATTATAAGGTGGATAGAAAGCTGGCTAGATCATCGGGCTCAACGGGTAGTGATCAATGGCTCCATGTCTAGTTGGCAGACGGTATCAAGCGGATTGCCCCAGGGGTCTGTCCTTGGGGCCGGTTTTGTTGAACATCTTAATGATCTGGATGATGGGATGGATTGCACCCTTAGCAAGTTTGCGGATGACACTAAGCTGGGGGGAGAGGTAGATATGCTGGAAGGTAGGGATAGGGTCCAGAGTGACCTAAACAAACTGGAGGGTTGGGCTAAAAGAAATCGGATGAGGTTCAACAAGGATAAGTGTAGAGTCCTGCACTTAGGACGGAAGAATCCTGTGCACTGCTACAGGCTGGGCACCAAATGGCTAAACAGAAGTTCTGCAGAAAAGGACCTGGAGATTACAGTGAATGAGATGCTAGATATAAGTCAACTGTGTGCCCTTGTTGCCAAGAAGCCTAATGGCATACTGAGCTGCATTAGTAGGAGCATTGCCAGCAGATAGAGGGAAGTGATTATACCTCTCTATTCAGCACTGGCCACATCTGGAGTATTGAGTCCAGTTTTGGGGCCCCCCACTACAGAAAGGATGTGGACAAATTGGAGAGAGTTCAGCGGAAGGCAAAGAAAATTATTAGGGGGCTGGGGCACATGACTTAGGTGGAGAGACTGAGGGAACTGGCTGAGAGGAGGGGCTGAAGAGAAGAGTGAGAGGAGATTTGATAGCAACCTTCAACTACCTGAAAGGGAGGTTCCAAAGAGGATAGAGCTAGGCTGATCTCAGTGGTAGCAGATGACTGAACAAGGAGCAATGGTCTCAAGTTGCAGTGAGGGAGGTCTTGACTGGATATGAGGAAACACTATTTCACTAGGACGGTGGTGAAGCACTGGAATGGGTTACCTAGGGAGGTGGTGAAATCTCCATCCTTAGAGGTTTTTAAGGCTTGACTTGACAAAGCCCTGACTGGGATGATTTAGATGTTGTTGGTCCTGCTTTGAGCAGGGGATTGGACTAGTTGACCTCCTGAGATCTCTTACAACCCTAATCTTCTATGATTATATGAGCAGGAGTGAGGAGGAGATTAGGGATATGACATTTCTGTGTAAGAATGAAGAGACAAGCAGAGGAAAGTTATTCATATTCAGTGTGGGACAGTGGGGAGAAGGGGAGAAATTCACCCTCTCTGGGCCTGGTCCAAAGCCTATTAAAGACCATGGAAAGAATCCCAATGATTTCAATGAACTTTGATAAGGTCATGTGAGGCGTGATTGGTGATGAGTGGGTATAATCTACAGTGAATGTGATCTTAACTTTGCAGTCATCCCACTCCCAGTTATGCAAGCGCACACAGATGTTGAAGGCCTGGCCTCTCCTTCCTATCTTTTTAGTGTAGGGCACAGAAGGAAATGTACACTGGAGTATATACAGTAACACAGAGGAACTAATTAAAGTTATAGATTCTCACTCAAACTTTTAAAAACGGGGGGGTCAAGTATTTAGAACAGCTATGAAACCATGACACAATGGACTGGACAAGGCTGCTGATTAGATATCAGTGTGAGGTTAAGTCAGATCTCAAGGATTTTCTCTTCTCTTCCCCATGGAATGAGCCACCTGCCTCTCTCCACCTGCTGTAATTCATGACTTCCAGAAGAAAACCTACATGTTGCATTTGGTTTAATAAACCTGTCTTGTGAAGTCCAGGGCTTACGTCCCTTCCTTGGCACCTCCATATTCATGGATAGAAGCTATCCCTGCATTAAAAAAGGAAGCTTATATAGTTCTTCTTTATATCAGAAATTGAGTAGTATGTGTATATAGAAGATTGAAAGGATGTTAAAAAAATCTGAAAATTAACAGTTATGAGATCTAGCCAATTCCTCACTGTTTTAAAATCCTTCTTTCTTCACTATCAACAAGCCCTGATTCACACTGCCCAGCTGGCCCGCTAGCCCACAAAAATGTACAACAACACCTACAAAGATCAAAATAATAAATAGCTAGAAGAATAGAAAATCCCAGTTTCAGGGATCTGTTTCCAATATACTAGAATGATAAGGTATACAATTAGGACTACTCACTACAACAAACTACTTAAACTAGCTACTACACAATATAGTTAACACAGCTAAATATGCTAACTTGCAAGATCTCATATGCACTTAAAAACCCACAGATAAAAATAAACACATTCCATATCTTCAATTCCATTCTTAAATATGTTCTTCCACTCCATTGCATCACACTAACAGAAATTTTGTAAAACTCTCACGCAACTTTACATACGCTTTCTTTAGGAATCTTTAGTACACCGTGAAGAAACAAAGGAACAGATTTTCTTGTGTATTGCAGACCTTTTGCACCACTCTGGAATTACAGCAGAGACAGAAATCCGTTGAACTAGCCAGCTGTGAATTCCCCTAACCTGTGGGAGATCTCTGGCAGCACTCACAAATCCGACCTCCTCACTACCCCTGGAGCTGGTATGGGAGTATATGGGAAGCGTCTCAGGGAAAATGCTCAAGAGCACTGCATTCCAGCCAGACCTAGGTAAATGTTTTGGATGAATATTTGCTGAAACATGCAGTTTTTGGTCCACCAAAACTATTCACAAATTTGGGTCAAATTCAGGGAATAGTTTTGGCTAGGAATTGTGTTTTTAAGTCAAAACATTTCATTTTGACATTATCAAAAATGAAATGTTTCATTTGAAATGAGATTGTTTTGCAATTTTGCTACATTTATTAACAAAAACAAAACAAACAAACAAAAACAACCCTAAAAACAAAACAAAAGGTTTGCTCAACCCAAAATAATAATAATAATTATTATTAGCTTTTTCATGGCAGCAAGAAAATTCCCCAAAAATCCATGTCAGGTTGACACAAAATGATTGTTTTCCCCCTGATTTTTCAGTTCAGCCACCAGACTCTAAAGAATCCATTATTTGCTCAGCTCCAGTTCTGGCTATTCCTACCTGGTATATAGTTCCTTGCAGACACTGTCAGCTGATGTAGGTTACAGCAGTCACCAGGCTGTTCTAAACTATGCTGGGGCTGAGGGAGATCTGCCTGAGAATCAGGAAGGTGTCACAGATTTCCTGATGGCCTCTACTTTTTCTATTAAACAAGCAAAAAAGAGGGAAATTTTACAGTTTGATGAGTGAATAGTCTCATTAAGTGACACTGAGCTCTTCGTCTTTGTGTTTGCCTTCTACCCTGATCTCTGGCAGCACAACTCAATGGGAGCATCACTACCAAGGACACCCCATGGACATAGTTGCCACCAGCACCTAAAAGGTATATTAGCATTGCCAGCTAAGCTCTGTGAGTCCAGAAGGTGTATGCGTGTCCTTCATAGCTCCACTCTGCCCATTCCTTGTCCCAGCCCACCCCTGTTTTCCCTAAACCCTGGAGCTACCAGAATGTTCTCCAAAAGTATCCAGAGGAAGGGTGAAGGTGAAATGGGCTGTGAGATCAACTGGCCCCTCTCCTTCCTCAGAGGGAGGAGAGATTCAGAGACAGAGATTTGAGGAGGGAGGTTGGGAGTATCCTTAATTCGGAGGTGTATATTGCCACACTGCAATGTAAGGGCACCTGTCATTTACGCACCCAGATAAACCTCTTTGATCTCAGCCAGTAAAGTTGTTTTTACTTATGTTAATGTCAGATTTACACACATCTTTATGAACAAGTAAACTGACAAATTTAATTTGGTCTGTATGTTCATGAAACTGCTTTAGAATCTTGGTTTATACATGTTTAGATTAAACTGATTTACACATGTAATAAATTAAACATGTACAAATCACATGCAAATCATGCACAGTTTAGCATGTGAACTTAATTTTTCATGCACTGCAAGAACCAAGCTAATTCCAGAACTCCCAGCTGGGTCCCAGATCCCCTCAAGCTACCTTGTTAGCAGCCTTCTTGTTGATTCAGTCCCTCACTCTGCACTCTCCACTCCCTCTCTCTCACTACTAAACATTGAGTATTCAAAGAAAACACTGATTGCCTATTATGTGGAAACATGGAACACTCTGTATGAATTCTATGCTTTAAATATATTGTTTATTTTATTATTTTCTTCCCCTTCCTGCCCTAGCTGTCTTGTCATCTCTTCTCCATTCTTCCCTGGAGTTTTGGGTTTCATTGCTCTCATAACACCTCCTCTCCATGCTTCACTAATCACTTTGGCACCTAGGAGCTTAACTCACTGCCCTCCCACTGTTACATTAGGTTTAATGACTATTCTGCCACTCCTTGTCCACAATCACAGTGTATTGGGATTAATCACTATTTTTCAGCCCCCTCTCAATCCATCCCCTGTAGCTCTTCTTAATTCTTTTTTTTAATGAAAAAGTTAATTTCAAATATAAGGTATATATTATCTGCCAGATTCTCTCTGTATACCTGTGTCTGTGTAAAGGGGCCTCATAGTGGGTTTAAATCAGGGGTTCTCAACCTTTTCCTTTCTGAGCCCCTCTTTCCTCCCCCCCCCCAAACATGATATTAAAAATTACATGGCCCACCTGTGCCACAACAACTGGTTTTCTGCATATAAAAGCCAAGGCCAGCATTAGCATGTAGCAAGCAGGGCAATTGCCTGGGGCCCCATGCCACATGGCCCCTGCAAAGTTAAGTTGTGCAGGCTTTGGCTTCAGCCCCAGGTGGCAGGGCTCAGGGCCCTGAGCGTCAGCCCCATGAAGTGGGGCTTCGGCTTTCTGCCCTGAGCCCCAGCGAGTCTAACGATGACCTTGCTTGGAGGACCCCCAGAAACCTGCTTGCAGCGGACTTCTGGTTGAGAACTACTGATTTAAATTATACCAGGGATCAGCAACCTTTGGCACACGGCCCGTCAGGGTAGGCCCCCTGGCAGGCCGGGCTGATTTGTTTACCTGCTGCGTCCACAGGTTTGGTCGATCACAGCTCCCACTGACCACGGTTTGCCACTCCAGCCCAATGGGGGTTGCAGGAAGCGGCGGCCTGCTCATCCCTTGGCCTGCGCCACTTCCTGCAGCCCCCATTGGCCTGGAGCGGCAAACCACGGCCAGTGAGAGCTGCGATCAGCCGAACCTGCGGACGCAGCAGGTAAACAAACCAGCCCGGCTGGCCAAGGGGCTTACCCTGGCGGGCCGCATGCCAAAGGTTGTCGATCCCTGAATTATACCTTAATATATTACACTGTGCCTTAATATATTATATATCCCTGAATATACACACTTTTAGGTTCATTTGAACTGCTTTAATGTAGTGTCTGTGAAAATGAGGCCCTACGATTTTCTTATGACAAAATAAATACAAAATAATGCCCAAAAATATATACAAAAAGAAATGCAAGCTCAAAAATTATACATTTTGCCTTGTATTCAGGCAGGTAGCTATGTGCATAAAGTTTGCTCATATTTTTGACAGATGTTTGACTTTTTTCCCAAACTTCCTCTCTCTCCCACCTTCCCATCTTCTGCTTCTAATTGTGTCACATCATCAAATTTCCCAAGCATTCACCTTTCATTTGCAGTGCATAGCAGCTCAAAACTGGATTTGCAACAGGCTGAAGCTGTTTTACCAGTAAGAATAATGATCTCCACCAAGGTTTGTTTGATGTCTTCTGAGTCAGCCAAACCTTCTCCTCTCCATAGTATTTATACTTCAAAACAAAAGGCTCTCAAAGCATATCCTGCCCATAAAATGGAAATATTTAGGTTAAGACTTCACCCTAAACACTGATGCTCAGAAATAAGTCAAAGAGAGTAATTTTAACTTCAAACATACCTGGAGGAGTCCTCATGCTGACAAATATCTGATTATTTCACAGAATATTTTTACCTCATGTATTTCTTGATTGAATTCTGTAAAAATGGCATGATGGCTTACTAGAATATAGATCAGACGGTTTTATAGGTTAGCAGCAATCACAGTGTTAAGAGTCTTATGGTCCTGAAACGCTGCATTCATTTCAGCTTCTTTCAATTAGCCAGTGTCCAGAGTAAGGAATTAACCTGATAAAACCCCCAGAAGTCAGCTGTTCATCTGGCTTATAGAGTGTTCCAGAGCTGTGAGTGCAAGCACAGAGCTTCCTCATGCCGTGTTCCTTAATAGCGTGTGAGTTCATAGTATGCAATAGGCAGTATTCTAAGCTGGAGAGAGAGTAAATTTACAGGTTTCAGAGGAACAGCCGTGTTAGTCTGTATTCGCAAAAAGAAAAGGAGTACTTGTGGCACCTTAGAGACTAACCAATTTATTTGAGCATGAGCTTTCGTGAGCTACAGCTCACTTCATCAGATGTTTACCGTGGAAATTTACAGCAATCCATCATGGTATACAGACAGAGAATAGGTCCTGTATTGCTCTCCAGTGGAAAGTAGACAAAAAAGAAAAGCACAGCTAATGTGGGCAACGTAGCAGCAAGTGGGCATAAAGTTGCTCATGTATCCAGAGGAGAGTATCAAGTCTAGAGTATGGCCAATTTGGTATTCTCTAATGGAATGTAGGTAGGTACCTACCTCATGCACCTCATTCAAAAAGTGAATTAAAGATGTTGGTAAGTAACTCAGCTTCTATTTGCAGCATAAGAAAGAGAGAGAGAGAGAAGTATCCAAATCTCTGTCATATGAGTTATTCTCGAGACTGGTCATTTTCCTGTGTCTAATTCTTTCCAGATTTTTATATGCCATCTGTCCAGTGCATGAAAACCATCCTTTCTCCAGTAAGCAGCAATGGTGACTCAAGCTGGCAATAAAAAAATAATAGCCTGTTCTGAATAAAGCTAAAATTCTGAACATCACCAAATAATAAAGTTATTGTGGGTGATAATACAAAAGGTTAACTGAAGATCAGGTTACTATGCCTTTCAACCAGAAGCCAAAATCTTTTTTTATTTTTGGACAGTTGTGCCATCATAAATCCTGTTTGTACACAATCTCTATAAGTTCAGAGAAATACTTACTATATATAGGTTACTTTGGGTCAGCTTAGTGCCAATATTACATGAATAAGTCTGTTGTTAACAGCAAATGAAATTTATTTCATATAGCAATATATCAAGGATCCAATTTATTATAACTATGAATGCTGATGTCTCTGACAGCCCTCCATGTAATCTCAATTTTCAAGGGCTTTGGTTGGCAATTAGAATAATTTTGTGCCCATAAACCTTTTTCATTTTTATTTTGGAAGAAAACTCTAGCTCAGAGAGACATTGGATTAAAAACCTATGTTGCATAATATATAACTAAAACAAAAGATACTGAAATGTAGGTAATTAATATCCTAATTTGCATATGCTTTTTCAAGTTTTAATATCTTACTATTATGGATAAGGGTCTGCTTCCTACCACATTTAGTCCAATTGCTTAAAAACCCAGGGACTTCATCATATCCTAATAAACTGAAGGGGAGTTTGGCCACAGACTTCAGTGGGAGCAGGATTGAGCCCTAAATTAGGCAGCGGGGAACA